TATGCTTTAATATCCTTGTTACCTCCAAGTACAATGTTGTGACATGACCCCATATCGGTATTAGGGCATCGCTGCTTTGTCACAATCTATAGCAGTAATGTTATATTATGCACCTCCGCCATACTGTGACCACTGTCGATATTAAATCTGTCGCTAAAGTTACTTATAAACATCAGATGGTTCCTTTTGCCGAGTGTGTGCAATAAAACCTTATATATCTCAGTGACATTATTTGAATGTGCGATTATATAGAATGCTCATAAATCAGATATTTGTCACGAATAGGAAACAATACGCCATGTATGTATCCCCTAAGTGTTTATCGGTCTCCTATAATTGTACTAGAGTTTGTGCGAAGTTAAAATAGTATGAATGTAATCATTTGATAGCTCATATGGGTATACTGATTAGCTATATGGGTATACTGATAGCCTGCGTGGGCATACTTTAGCCCTACGCATAGCTTACATGGGTATACTGATAATCTACATGGGTATACTAACATGGGTATACTGATAATCTACATGGGTATACGTATAGCCTGCATGGGTATACTGATAGCCTATGGGTATACTTATAGCAACATGGGCATACATGGGTATACAGCCTGCATGGGTATACTTATAGCTAACATAGGTATGGGTATACTGATAATCTACATGGGTATACGTATAGCCTGCATGGGTATACTTATAGCTAACATGGGTATACTGATATGGGTATACATAATCTACATAGCCTAACATGGGTATACTGATAGGTATACGTATAGCTTACATGGGTATACTGATAGCCTGCATGGGTATACATGGGTATACTGATAGCCTGCATGGGTATAGCTAACATGGGTATACTGATAATCTACATGGGTATACTGATTAGCTATATGGGTATACTGATAGCCTGCATGGGTATACTTATAGCTAACATGGGTATACTGATAGTCTACATGGGTATACGTATAGCTTACATGGGTATACTGATAGCCTGCATGGGTATACTTATAGCTAACATGGGTATACTGATAGTCTACATGGGTATACTGATTAGCTATATGGGTATACTGATAGCCTGCATGGGCATACTTATAGCTAACATGGGTATACTGATAGCCTGCATGGGTATACTTATAGCTAACATGGGTATACTGATAGTCTACATGGGCATACTTATAGCTAACATGGGTATACTGATAGCCTGCATGGGTATACTGATAGCCTACGTGGGTATACTGATAGCCTGCATGGGCATACTTATAGCTAACATGGGTATACTGATAGTCTACATGGGCATACTTATAGCTAACATGGGTATACTGATAGCCTGCATGGGCATACTTATAGCTAACATGGGTATACTGATAGCCTGCATGGGTATACTTATAGCTAACATGGGTATACTGATAGTCTACATGGGCATACTTATAGCTAACATGGGTATACTGATAGCCTGCATGGGTATACTGATAGCCTACATGGGTATACTGATAGCCTGCATGGGCATACTTATAGCTAACATGGGTATACTGATAGTCTACATGGGTATACTTATAGCTAACATGGGTATACTGATAGCCTGCATGGGTATACTTATAGCTAACATGGGTATACTGATAGTCTACATGGGTATACTGATAGCCTGCATGGGTATACTGATAGCTAACATGGGTATACTGATAGTCTACATGGGTATACTGATTAGCTATATGGGTATACTGATAGCCTGCATGGGTATACTTATAGCTAACATGGGTATACTGATAGCCTGCATGGGTATACTTATAGCTAACATGGGTATACTGATAGCCTGCATGGGTATACTTATAGCTAACATGGGTATACTTATAGCTAACATGGGTATACTTATAGCTAACATGGGTATACTGATAGCCTGCATGGGCATACTTATAGCTAACATGGGTATACTGATAGCTAACATGGGCATACGTATAGCCTACATGGGTATACTTATAGCTAACATGGGCATACGTATAGCCTACATGGGTATACTGATAGCCTGCATGGGTATACTGATAGCCTGCATGGGCATACGTATAGCCTACATGGGTATACTGATAGCCTGCATGGGTATACTGATAGCCTGCATGGGCATACGTATAGCCTACATGGGTATACTGATAGCCTGCATGGGTATACTTATAGCTAACATGGGCAAACGTATAGCCTACATGGGTATACTTATAGCTAACATGGGCATACGTATAGCCTACATGGGTATACTGATAGCCTGCATGGGTATACTTATAGCTAACATGGGCATACGTATAGCCTACATGGGTACACTGATAGCCTGCATGGGTATACGTATAGCCTACATGGGTATACTGATAGCCTGCATGGGTATACTTATAGCTAACATGGGTATACTGATAGTCTACATGGGTATACTTATAGCTAACATGGGTATACTGATAGCCTGCATGGGTATACTTATAGCTAACATGGGTATACTGATAGTCTACATGGGTATACTTATAGCTAACATCGGTATACTGATATCCTACATCGGTATGCTGATAGGCTACGTGGGTATATTGATAGCCTGCATGGGTATACCGACAGCCTACATGGGTATACCAATAGGTAACATGGGTACACTGAGAGCCTACATGGGTATACTAATAGCCTAAATGGGTATATTGATAGCCTGCATGGATATACCGACAGCCTAGCTACATTGGTATACTGATAGTCTACATGGGTATAATGATAGCCTACATGGGTATACTGATAGCCTACATGGGTATACCGATAGGGTACATGGGTATAATGACAGCCTACATGGGTATACTGAAAGCCTACATGGGTATACTGATAGCCTACATGGGTATACCGATAGGGTACATGGGTATACCGATAGGGTACATGGGTAAACTGATAGCCTACATGGGTATACCGATAGTCTACATAGGTATACTGATAGCTACATGGGTATACCAATAGGGTACATGGGTATACCGATAGTCTACATAGGTATACTGATAGTCTACATGGGTATACTGATAGCCTACATGGGTATACCGATAGGGTACATGGGTATACCGATAGGGTACATGGGTATACCGATAGGGTACATGGGTATACTGAGAGTCTACATGGGTTTACTGATAGCCTACATGGGTATACCGATAGGGTACATGGGTATACTGATAGTCTACATGGGTATACCGATAGTCTACATGGGTATACTGATAGTCTACATGGGTATACTGATAGGGTACATGGGTATACCGATAGGGTTCATGGGTATACCGACAGGGTACATGGGTATACCGATAGTCTACATGGGTATACTGATAGTCTACATGGGTATACTGATAGCCTACATGGGTATACCGATAGGGTACATGGGTATACCGATAGCCTACATGGTATACTGATAGTCTACGTGGGTATACTGATAGCCTACGTGGGAATACCGATAGGGTACATGGGTATACCGATAGGGTACATGGGTATACCGATAGGGTACATGGGTATACTGATAGTCTACATGGTATACTGATAGCCTACATGGGTATACCGGTAGGGTACATGGGTATACCGATAGGGTACATGGGTATACTGCTAGGGTACATGGGTATACTGATAGCCTACATGGGTATACCGATAGGGTACATGGGTATACTGAAAGCCTACATGGGTATACCGATAGGGTACATGGGTATACCGATAGCCTACATGGGTATACAGAAAGGGTACATTGGTATACCGATAGGGTACATGGGTATACCGATAGGGTACATGGGTATACTCGTAGCCTACATGGGTATACCGATAGCCTACATGGGTATACCGATAGGGTACATGGGTATACCGATAGCCTACATGGGTATACTGATAGCCTACATGGGTATACTGATAGCCTACATGGATATACCGAAAGGGTACATGGGTATACTCGTAGCCTACATGGGTATACCGATAGCATACATGGGTATACTGATAGCCTACATGGGTATACCGATAGTCTACATGGGTATACTAATAGCCTACATGGGTATACCGATAGGCTACATGCGTATAATGACAGCCTACATGGGTATACGGATAGCCAGGATTTGTCCTTCCAGCATTAGATATAGCGTTTCAAAGATTGTCCGAATATTTGGATACGTCGACATGTGGTCCCAAGGGAACCAAACTCAGGCAATACCGTACCTACACTGGTAGAATTACACCCCGTCAACAAGACATCTAAAGCTCTGATTTCATGAAGTGACCGGGATTATACGTAAGTTCCGAACGTTGGTTTTAACGGTACGACCTTAGTGTACATACAGCGGGGATAGTCAATCAGAATGTTTCCTTGCCCACTCTAGCGGACGGGTCGCTATTGACTTCCACCTGGTTCATGTCGCTTGTTACATGCATTATCAATAATACCACTCAGCCACTACCGCGACTCCTTGAAAAGAACGTGTGTTGCTTCTTTGTAGAAAAACAGCGTTCGTGTCGTCATCTCCTGTGCCTCTTCCTCTGCAAGTGAGAGCGTGATCAATTCCAGGGACAAAGTCAGAAAGAAAAAGCATCCATCATGACGCTGACGTTAATAGAGGAATCAATACCAGCCCTTCATCGTAACAGCCGCTATTTATATTTACGGGATTTCACGTCGACCTGACAAAATGGGGTCTCAATACAGGCGTCCCAACATGCATTGTCCTTCCTCTTCATAAAAACACTCCCGGGCCCAATAGACGAAATGATGGGCAATATTGCAATGATGAGTAAAGATATAGCAGCTTTTGCCTCTCGTAAACGACATATTACTTTACGGGAATTGACATTTAAAGTGATAAAGTAAGTTGCAGAGGACACGGAAAAAATGAGTTTCTTATTTCTTAGTAATTGTTTTAATAAGCTCAAATCAATGTGTTTGCCATGTTCTATACACACAGTGACAGAGGGCATGCTGTCACATCGATCATGTTCTAGCTAAATTGCTTTGCGACCATCGAGAATTAGGATCGCAAATGTCTACTGTCCTGGTTTGATATGGATTAAATTGCTCGCCGCCTCCTTGCAACCATTGGCTGTCGATGGCAATCACCAAATGGAGGAAGACTATTTCAAATCCATTGCCATTTACTCGCGGGTAATTCGCTAAGTTGTTCGCTTTTGAATGGCAAATTACCTTACAGAAGCCATGCAAAGTGGGTGTGTTCTCGTGTCGCTTGAGCTGAGCAAAGGTTTTATAGCGATAACTGGCAACCCCAATGTATGAATATGGAGCGATCAGAGCTTCATGAATGCTAGTGTAAACACGACAGGATTGTACTTGGGTGCTGTAACTTGCCATATAACGTGATCCGCACGAACTACTTGTTGAAAAGCACGCTTATATAGAGGCCTCGTGTATGTATCAACAGTCACAGCGTGGATATACGACAATCGCCACAAACACATTGTAAATAGCGGCGGTTTCTTTTGAAGGTTCTAAGCAATAGTAGTTTGGTTGACTAATCTTTACACAGGAATCACTACCCATCATTCGGATGCCCTTTGAGTGTATAAAGCTATGGCCATATAGATGGTTGACCTGTGTATGAAAGACACAGTCTGGCAACGTTTGACATCACTCTTTGGAGCAAGTGCAGGGTGCATAGGAAATATGGCGGCAACAAGGTTCCATATGTAGAAGCTTGTGTCTGCAGTCTTCCTCCAGGAGCTGGATATTGAAACAACATCACAGTGCCAGGGACGTCTACCTTGTTAATGTAAGTAGAAGTAATTGTACGATCTAAGACTCAATTGTCCCTATAGCCATGTAATTGTAAGATGCAGTATCGTTGTAATTGTAAACCAAATGTAATAAATATAATGCCATATTAAATGAAATTTAACGATCAGTTATAAAGGTATATAATATACATAGACACAATGAAATGTATTGCTCTAAAAATATCTATTATTGTAATTTTTATTTTGTAAAATGGCCTTCTTGGCTTGTATAAGTAACGACTCAAGGACACGTATTCAAGTCGACTGGATAAGATATCCCATTTCCAAACGCTGGCAATAACAGAATTTAAAAAATGACTAAGTAGCTTTACAGTTCGTTTTCCCTTTAGCTGTATGTTTTGTAGTATTACATGTGAAAATACCGTCATACCAGTGCCCACCAGCCGGTTCTCGCTGTGCCACACAAGCGTATGTATTGTCATACCTGATACCTACAAACCGGCGCTCAGTGTGTTACACATGAGTATTCATTGTCATACCCGGTACCCACCAGCCGTGCTCCTTGTGTTACACGGGTTTATGTATTGCCATACCCGCTACCCCCAGCCGTGCTCCTTGTGTTACACGGGTTTATGTATAGCCATACCCGGTACCCACCAGCCGTGCTCCTTGTGTTACACGGGTTTATGTATTGCCATACTCGATACCAACCAACCACTACTCACTAGTTACACAATTGTCATTGTCATACCCGGTATCTGACAAAAAGTGCTTGCAGTGTGTAGATTTATTCCGGTATCCGCCAACTGGCGCTCGTTGTTTTGATTCCGATTGTGTGTAAAGGCATTACCAGGAACCTATCACATTGTATTGGTTGATACAAGCTGTATTCCAAGAGTAATATGCTGCGTTAACGAGCGGATTACCGGTAGTGAAAGGGAACAACGGATGCCTCTGGGCATCTTCCGATTTCGAGTAACTTTGTAAATGCGAATATTATCAGTTATTGCGAAGTCATTAGTATTTTTTTCAGTTTTGTTGGCGTTGATTGAAAGGATTTTAATTTACGGCTGACAACGCAGTTACATAAAATAATAAATAAATATCTGAGCCGCAGTATCAATATGAATTAGGCCATATCATGTAAAAATCAATAGGACTGTTGCAGAACACTTGTCATAGCTAAAAGTACATGCAATAAATTATAGAAGTACAAATGAACGTTAACAACGCTAAATGTGATTCAATTTACTGAAGGTACACGATGTATTTGTGGAAGAGAGGAAATATTGCAGCTTTAGAGTACTGATTATGAATCAATATTTTCCTGTAATGAAAGTCGATCATATACATTTGCATGGCTAATATGACGTCTAAACATTTTAGGATTGCAAATACATCTAATATAAAACCGATAAATCCCCACCAGTATACAGGCAAGGTGTACTGATTTTGCAGGTTCTATTGATGTTGCCATTTTGAAATGAATGGAAGACTGTTTAGTCGGACACTGCACAAAACATGTTTACAGAAGTAAGACATTTGGAAAGAGACAACAGTCACTGAAATAGATGTTCAAGCATCGGATTTATTTTCACTTTATCTGCATTTCACCCGATCCTTGTGAATCTGTAACTGACATGATTGAACGGAAGAGAAGTTCTGACAATTTTAGATGTAATCTATGTGTATTCCAGTCTGTTTGTTGAACACATGGATGTCTGCATAACCTCAGTTCTGTTCTCTCTTCCTGACTCAACTACTTCTGTACAAAGTGTCGCTATATCACTATGTGGGTGATGGCCTGATCTATGCATGAAGTATCCTTATATCACCCTGTGTGAAAGGCCTGATCGCTATATAACGCATCCCTATATCTGTTTGTGATGGCCTGATCTTCATATAACGCATCCCTATATCTCAGTGTGAAAGGCCTGATCTCCATATAACGTATCCCTATATCTGTGTGTGATGGCCTGATCTTCATATAACGCATCCCTATATCTCAGTGTGAAAGGCCTGATCTCCATATAACGTATCCCTATATCTGTGTGTGATGACCTGATCTCCATATAACGTATCCCTGTATCACCATGTGTGAAAGGTGTGATCTCCATATAACGTGTCCCTATATCACTCTGTGTAAAAGGTCATATTTCTTTATAATGTATCCCTATAACACTCTCTGTATGAAAGGCCTGATCTCCGCATAAGGTATCCTTATATCACTCTGTGTGAAAGGCCTGATCTGCATATAACATATCCCTATCTCACTCTTTGTAAAAGGCCTGTCTCATATAACATATTCCCATACCACCCTGTATGAAAGGCCTGATCTCCATATAACGTATCCCTATATCACCCTGTGTGAAAGACCTGATCTCCGTATAACGTGTCCCTATATCTGTGTGTGATGACCTGATCTCCATATAACGTATCCCTATATCACCCTGTGTGAAAGACCTGATCTCCGTATAATATATCCCTATATCACCCTGTGTGAAAGGCCTGATCTCCATATAACGTATCCCTATATCACCCTGTGTGATGGCCTGATCTCCACATAACGTATCCCTCTATCACCATGTGTGAAAGACCTGATCTCCATATAACGTATCCTTATATCACCCTGTGTAAAAGACCTGATCTCCATATAACGTATCCTTATATCACCCTTTGTGATGGCCTGATCTCCATATAACGTATCGCTCTATCACCCTGTGTGAAAGACCTGATCTCCGTATAACGTGTCCCTATATCTGTGTGTGATGACCTGATCTCCATATAACGTATCGCTCTATCACCCTGTGTGAAAGACCTGATCTCCGTATAACGTGTCCCTATATCACCCTGTGTGAAAGACCTGATCTCCATATAACATATCCCTATATCACCCTGTGTGATGGCCTGATCTCCATATAACGTATCCCTGTATCACTCTGTGTGATGGCCTGATCTCCATATAACGTATCCTTATATCACCCTGTGTGAAAGACCTGATCTCCATATAACGTATCCTTATATCACCCTGTGTGATGGCCTGATCTCCATATAACGTATCCCTGTATCACCCTGTGTGAAAGACCTGATCTCCGTATAACGTGTCCCTATATCTGTGTGTGATGACCTGATCTCCATATAACGTATCCCTATATCACCCTGTGTGAAAGACCTGATCTCCATATAACATATCCCTATATCACCCTGTGTGATGGCTTGATCTCCATATAACGTGTCCCTATATCACCCTGTGTGAAAGACCTGATCTCCATATAACGTATCCTTATATCACCCTGTGTGAAAGACCTGATCTCCATATAACGTATCCTTATATGACCCTGTGAGATGGCCTGATCTCCATATAACGTATCCCTATATCACCCTGTGTGAAAGACCTGATCTCCGTATAACGTATCCCTATATCTGTGTGTGATGACCTGATCTCCATATAACGTATCCCTATATCACCCTGTGTGATGGCCTGATCTCCATATAACGTATCCCTATATCACCCTGTGTGAAAGACCTGATCTCCGTATAACGTGTCCCTATATCTGTGTGTGATGACCTGATCTCCATTTAACATATCCCTATATCACCCTGTGTGAAAGACCTGATCTCCATATAACATATCCTTATATCACCCTGTGTGAAAGGCCTGATCTCCATATAACGTATCCCTATATCTGTGTGTGATGACCTGATCTCCATATAACATATCCCTATATCACCCTCTGTGAAAGGCCTGATCTCCATATAACGTATCCCTATATCTGTGTGTGATGACCTGATCTCCATATAACATATCCTTATATCACCCTGTGTGAAAGGCCTGATCTCCGTATAACGTGTCCCTATATCTGTGTGTGATGACCTGATCTCCATATAACATATCCCTATATCACCCTGTGTGAAAGACCTGATCTCCATATAACATATCCCTATATCACCCTGTGTGAAAGACCTGATCTCCATATAAAGTATCCTTATATCACCCTGTGTGAAAGGCCTGATCTCCATATAACGTATCCTTATATCACCCTGTGTGATGGCCTGATCTCCATATAACGTATCCCTATATCACCCTGTGTGATGGCCTGATCTCCATATAACGTATCCTTATATCACCCTGTGTGATGGCCTGATCTCCATATAACGTATCCCTATATCACCCTGTGTGATGGCCTGATCTCCATATAACGTATCCCTATATCTGTGTGTGTGATGGCCTGATCTCCATATAACGTATCCTTATATCACCCTGTGTGAAAGACCTGATCTCCATATAACATATCTCTATATCACCCTGTGTGAAAGGCCTGATCTCCATATAACGTATCCTTATATCACCCTGTGTGATGGCCTGATCTCCACATAACGTATCCGTATATCACCATGTGTGATGGCCTGATCTCCATATAACGTATCCCTATATCACCCTGTGTGAAAGGGCTGATCGCCGCATAAAATATCCTTATATCACTCCCTGTGTGAAAGGTCTGATCTCCGAATAACAAATGCTTATATCTAACGCTACAACAGTAATCAAATATAGGACAAATATGCAATGTGTAAAAAGTTTCTCGTATAAGTATACTTACTTGCAATCAATTTCACAAGGCATTTTTATCTGAAATGGACGAAACGTCTTTTTATTAGAAAACATTGTCCAGGTCACAGAACACTGACGTTTATTTCAACGATTCTCCCTTCCTATTCGTATTTTCTATAAACGATGCACTAGGTGTCGTGAAATGTGAATGAATTCTCGTTGTTTTGGAAATACAAAGCCGTTTCTTCCACGATTTGGCTTTTAAACTGAGATTCTTAGTTTTACTGTTTCAGTAGGGTGTTAGATTGACAGACATGAAGCTATTAGACTACACGTCATTTCGAGTTTTCGCAGTGATTAAAAACACATACTAGAATGTGCTGTCGTACGCGTTTAATTGAAGTAGTTTACTGTTTAAGCGCGTATAAAAGCCGCCTAACCCCCCAAATTAAAGATATCTTTGAGGCTAGTGTAAACGGTAGA